TTCCAAAATGCTGTTTTCTCTCGGTCAGATAACAATGAGTGTGAATGTTTATGCTCTGCTACATACACAACAACAGGGACAAACAATCTAGTAGAACCTGGCTTTTAAACGTGTAATTGCAATGTAAATACGTGAAGATGCAAATCCGATAACTGGTGGACCCCACTGTAAAAAAGGGGTGGCACAGTCACGGGCAAAACTCAAAATGTTTAGTGGGCCGTCTATGAGAAAGACAGTGGTTTTCCAGGAGGAGCTTTGTCACTCCACAGCACGACTCCCTGCAGCCTACTCCCAACCAAACACGGGCTAGGAAGAGCACACAAGCAAACAAGAGACGACGAAACTCGGCGGCGCTAGCAGACCAAGCTCGAACGGTTCCATAAACAAACCCGCACGGACAGCTTACACCGTATTCTGCCTTCCAGAGGCTTGTGAAGTGTGAGAGTAAGTATTTGTCGAGTTTTTCGAGTTTGTTTCTGCCTGCCATTTTGTTTGTCGGGCAACGTCAAAAAAAATCTGCCCGTGACTGTGCCACCCCTTTTGTACGTGGATTTCACATTTAAAAAGGACACAGGTTATTGTCAACCGACCACCATGGTTAGCCAGGCTGAAAAATGTGAATCCACAAAAAGAGTAAAACAGACATTTAGAAAGAAACAAGCTATTTTTTAAACCTACATATGCAGGAGTGGGTCAGTATACTAACATTACTGTACATAGCATCGGTATATGGGGTATGTACCTATTTCGAATAGTTCATTAAGATTGAAATCTCCAGTTGAAATATTTGCCTGCCGCTTTAGAAATTGACCGAATGGATGAAATCCTCTTGTAAAAACAAAGAACATAACACAACCCATTGAGAAGATATCAGCAGCAAATGTCTGTGGGAAAATAAGAAGAGTTTTATCTTAGTAGCACATGTGTGTTTTCTGTGTGCAACCATAGAGAATGTATATGGAGGGAAATAAAATATGCCAAGGCCAATAATAATAATCAGAAGAAAATACCAAAAATTACTATAAGTGAAGAAACTTAGAAAACTGTATGTACAGAAACTGGTTGGTCACGAGATATGCACGAACCACAGTGATACCATGTTGTCTACCCCATTGGAATGCAAGTGCACAATTCACAGAAAAGCCTGCATACACACGCTAACATCAAACTGAAATGCTCACTGCCTAAGTACATGCTCTAGCTTATAGGATAGCTTGCCATCCTGATATTGTTTAAAAGGCACAAAACTTGCAACCGAACAAGGGCACCCCAGAGGGACAAACAGAATTGTATGCACGGCTCTAAAGCCCGTGTGTTCCCTTTATTCAGGGGTCAACAAGTCTGATACGGCAATTAAAAAAACAGTCCTCAACAGCCTCGTGGACTTAAGGAACATCCACAGTGCACATCTACGATCAGAGTGTCATACTATTCCCACACTACAGACTTGTGTATAATTATTTTAGGGAATTCAGGGGGGATGCCCTGTGTTCAACCGAACCCGTGTTGCAATCGGACCTGGGGCAAAGCCGGCTGAGCAGATCAAGCGCAAGACAGCTGAAACTTGGTTTACGAAGACTATTACCTGAGGCTGCTTGCTGAAGTCTCAAGAAACATACCAAAAGTCTAAATAGTCCATAATTTCCGAGCGCGTTAGCGTGAGGCAACTACTCCGGGTTGTATTCTCGCGATATGCGGACGTATGTACGTGTCGGTCACGCTTAAGAATGTCAATTAGTCACGCTTAGGGAAATGTCAATTAGTCACGCTTAGGAATGTCAATTTCCGCCGTGCGCGCAGCTTCGTAGGAAGTCTGGCTTCGTGTGCAGCGCATGCATGAGCGGCCTCAGTCGGCGGATATCGGACTGTTTACGCATTGGCTGGCAGGCGCGAGGCAAAATATGCGCGTGCGCATTCCTAGTAACTTTTAATTAGTACTTTAATGCTCAAAATTGAACCAGAAACTACCTCAGAGGCCCTAGAATCACAATTTTCTTGGGGGAGCATGCCCCCAGACCCCCCTAGAGAGCATACTTAGTGTGCAGTCGCACCATCAACCCCCTTAATCCGCCCCTGTGAGTTGCAGACAGAATATGGGATTTGAGCCCACTTCCTCTTGCTTTCCAGGCGAGTCTGCTACTACTTGCTATAGCAAGGCCAACCAAAACTAAACTAATTTTTGCGGGTACTCTTACTCATAAGCATAAGTTAGAAATTCAAACTGAGGTTACTTTATTGTAATAAAGCCAATGAGCGACTATGTGCTGTCACATTTTCCCCTCTGGGTCTCCCATGTGTACAAATGGTTATTGCGTTTTTAATATGGAAGCGCTATTATACGGAAGTACAGTCAGTGTATCTTTCCCCCAATCCGTTTTCAGCTGGAAGTCAACCATTTATAGCTGATGTTCTCAGTAATATATCTTGATCACGCTTTTGTAGCTTTGCAGAAAGAGACTTTGCTTCATTTAAGATATTTTTAGTGATGAGGAAGGTTCTGATGGTTTGAAATGCGGAGAGAGCGGCCTTAAGACCTTGTGCTCGTACTTTTGTTTCACTATCCCAATTCCAAGCACCATGTGATGATGTAAGTTGAGGGTATGCTTTTGGAGACACAATGGCATCGAAGAAGGTGATCAGTAGCACTTCGAAACGTATGTACCTTTCTACCCACCTACACAGTCCTTGTAATTTGCTGTGGGACGATACTGACATTAACTTCATTACAGTTACGTAATTCAAACATGCTCTGTCTCTTAGACAGGAAAAATTTGCTTTATTAACCCTCGGCGCGCATGCGCAGCAAGGGTTACATTACTTGGTCTGTCTGTCCGTCTGTTACCGTGTTTTCTGCCATCACGCGAAACAAACAGGTTTAAAAAATGACACCAACGGGTTCAGCGCTAGACTGGCTTCATTTTAAAAATGGCAATTTTCCTTAAAAATACTGCGTTCTAAAGTTATGGCGTGAAAACCAAGCGAACGAGCCAGGCTTACCTCCACCGGGTCCGCTTGCTCTGTGTATCTTGAAGGCACAAGAAGTCAAAACGAAGGGCGTGTATCGACTCCCGCATGCTATCTACTGCTATAGCTAGCCCGTGTCAGACTCTCCATGAGCTAAACGGTAAGTGTTGTATAAGAACCCATTTAAGTTCAGCTAAAACAAGAGGATTAATTACAAAAACATGGAACAAATAAAGACAAAGAGAACCTTGTGCTTTAGCTCAAGATGGGTACATGGTAATGCAGGGAGGACCTAACAACTCCCTCGTTCTCGTTCCCAACTACGTCATGGTAACCGCGAGTGGCACACACCACAAGCTCGCATCTCTCCCTTCCCCTCCTTATTCCTCGTCTGTCCCAGGAGACCACGAGTAAACGCATACTATTATACCCCAACCCACTAATTAGCTGTACTGCGCATGCGCAGTTTGCCGAATACTAGAGTGGACTGCGTAGCGCGTCAATATAATGTAAGCTGCCAGTTGTACAATGCTTTTCTATGACATAATCATGACATATTGTGTTGTGCAATGATGATCTATGACATGTGTTGTGCAATGATGTTGCAAAGCTAAAAAATAGTAGCAACTGCCTGTTGTGCAATGCACATGATGAATTAGTCCAAAAATAGTCTACCCGTAGTTACTTAGCTATATGCACAATTACATACCTCTACTCTACATTGTTCAAACTTCGTGACTAACAACAATCTAATCCGAGGGTTTGCACTTTAGTGCTTTTTATTTATAATTGAAATATGATTACTTACTTCTTGAACCTCACAAGAAGCAGCACCAGAAAGATTGAGGCAATGAGAGTAACAATGGGTGTACAATTTTTGCCTGTACACCAGCTCTACTTGATGACATCACTGCAGCTCCATCGTATGCCCGGCCACATATTCTACTAGTATCAAGGGACACACAAGGATCAGTGAGGGTTTCAAGAATATGTTTTGAATTTGCTTCTGCATTTGCCCTCTGGAGTTGGATAAAGGCCAAGAGACACTCCAAGGTTACGTAGCAGGCAATGACAGATCTACAAATCGCAAACACAGGGTAAGAATTTCTTGGTTTGAAAAAACATCTGTTGTTTCATCAAGGTAAGGTAATGCTTTCTCTCTTTCTGGATGCATATTATGTGAACTATCAGATTTTTAATGGTTTTATTAGCATGGTTTTATTTTTGTGCTCAAGATGGGATCACTTATAGCCATCAGCTGCAATGTTGCCACGAATTGGTATCCTCGGAAGAAAAATCATCTCATCATCTTATCATCTCAATGACCCCAAAAGGGTAATCCCAGTTTTGCTAAGAACCCTACAGGAAGAATTATTAGGCGAAGGATATGCTGATTTTCTTGATCACTTTGTTTCAGTAATATGGAGTCAATCCTCTCAGAAACAAGATATGGTACAGAGAAAGATCCTTTACAAGAACCTTGGATAGGTACAGAGAAAGTTACGAGAAAGAGACTTGCCCTCTCTGTAGTACAACGGTGCATCACAGTGTTATTGTGGCAAACAAGAACACCATCCTTTACCTTGGAGTAAGAACTCTGGTAAGAGGATAGAATCAAAACTCCCAATCTACTGCTACTACATTGCAGCCTCCCACGCAGGCTTTAGAACCACAAAGACACTCAAAATTGCCGTCTTACCTATACATGGCTCATTCACAAGTGCTGGCCTCTCATTGTCCGGAGTTTCTCCCTCTATCCTACAGTGTATATACAACTAATTGCGTATGCTCTCGGCTTTGGACAGACAGTAGTACCTTTGAGAAGGATGTGAGTTGAATGTCTCTAGGTATCTTTCTCTTGCTAGACATGCTGTTGCAATGACCTGAGCTACATGACTTCCTAAATTCCCTTCGTTGCAGCTGACCGTTAGTGGCAGTTAAACTGCGACTTCACTCAGTGCCGTCGTGTACTATGATTACATAATAGTCACTTGCTGGGCGGGGCGGGGCAGCGCGCGTCGCGCTCGGAACGCGCATGGTGAAGGGCGAATCCGCCCCTGACTCATCACATATTCTTCAGTTTCCTTATAAGCAAGGTGTGTGGATAAGTGTAACGTTCAGCCAATCACATCTTGCACATCCGCACACTGTTAAAACATCGGCTGAGATCGGCTAAGGTCACATGCAGCTCTAAAAGGGCACTCCCACTTGGACAAATTTGTGCACTCTTACTCACACTCGGACATTCCAAAAACAATCCCGATTATGTAATAACCTCGATTGTTATCACTCCATCCGCATGCACGAATTCGTATGTGGCAAAATAAGACATATATTTGTGCCCATGCTTATGTAGGTACGTACCCTGAGGAAGGCTCAATGTGCTAGTGATGGCTAAGCAGTTGCTTAAGTATTATTAAGTAATACTTACACACACTCATATTGCATATATTGTTACATGAGCATGCACTCTAATGTCAAAAGAGCACACAAAAAACACTTATAGCCTGGTTCCAGGTGTTTACTTCGATCTTTTGTTCAAGCTAGATCACAGGCTAAAACACCCTATTATCGAAATCTTGAAAATCACTGGAATTTTTGTAAAATGCAATAAAAATTTACCACTTTTCGATCTTGGTTAAATACTTCTGGAGCTATCCAGCCTTCTGTTCCTGCAATACCAGACATTGCGGTATATGAATGGCGATTGTGAGGAAGTTTTCTACACAGTCCAAAGTCTGATATCATTGCTCGTGTTCCACCAAGTGACGAAAAAGATATCAGAACATTGCGAGGCTTTACATCCCGATGAACTGCAAAAAGAATATTGGAATGCAAATTCAAGCACAAATGCAGAGAACATCCCTAATCCAAGTACATACAAAGATATGATAAACAAAAAGGTTTAGGTACCATGAAAGGCATAATGAAAGATACAGAGAATAGAAAGAATTGGGATTGTGTCATCAATCATTAACCCTCGGCGCGCATGCGCAGCGAGGGTTACTGTGGTTGTCGTGTGTGTCATTCATTCATTCATTCTGTCGGTTAAGTGAGAACTCACTTCTCCAGTCATAGATCGCGTCCAAAACGGGTTTACATACCCAGCGGCCGACGGAGGTCAGAAAATATGTGGGATTTTCTCTGAAACTGCCTCGTTGCAGAGCTAGAGCGTTTTCCTGTTCGTCTGGTACGGCAAGGGCGGCCATTTTAACAACGCTCATGTGTGTATACACCAAAACGCACGCGACTCTGAGGCGGCAGGCGGCCAAAGCGGCGCACGCTGATTGGGACCACGTGGCCAGCAGCCATTTTGTTTTCCTTCATTTCTCTGTGAGACTAGACTGAGAAGACAGTTGAGTTCAGTAAGTATGCCTCCAAATAATTGTAGCTCACTAGGTTAGGCTTGGGAGGAAAGAATAATCTTATCTACGACCAGTAAGTACAACAATTCTACCAGACCTGGTGATACCATTGCCCCACCCATTACTTTACATAATTGTGCGTTATCACTGCGCCGAGGGTTTGCACTTCAGTGCCTTTCATTCCTATGGCAAGAATGGAAAACCAAGATTAAAGGTACATACCATCCAATGGTCTATAGGCATGCGCAAAATATCCGTCTACTCTGGGTTCGTTGCTCTGTATATCGTGCATTTGACTCTGTCCTAAGTAAACAGCAAGCCCGGGCTATAAAGAAGTTGTGTTGATTGTGGAGACATTCTCCCAGTGCTGCTCGTTGGGTAGCTGGTGGTTGGCTTGGCAGCCCTGGGAACCAAGAATTTACTGACCTCAGGAATATGCGAGCATAGCGTTCATGTGGAATGATCGCGGGAGCGGTGGTAGTGGAAATTGTGTATTGCAACTCCACTTCAAATTCTGGGTGTGACTCGCTCGCTGTGCCTCGTGTACTGGGCCGCAACAATGCACAACTTCACAAAACTAGAGTCAGAACCATAGATTTCACATAGTTACATGTGTTCAGTAGAGTTCAATTTATAGACTTTTCACTTTCATTGTTTGTACAACGCTCACATGATAAAATGAAAAGCACTAAAGTGCAAACCCTCGGCGAACTGCGTATGCGCGGTACCACTAATAGATGGGCTGGGCTATTGGCGTTTACTCGCGTTAATCACACGCATGTGCACCGCTTATTGATGGGTTGGGCCACGCAACGCTGTCCGCGACCGTGTCAGTTTGTCGCTCTCGAAAGCAGTCGTTTCAGCAAAATCGCCATTTTATTTTCTAGCCCATGTACCGCTAAAACTGTTGGTATCGCTCATAAGCCGCCTCGTAGCCTGTAGTGCGAGAATAGTCGTAGACAGACAGACACACAGAATGACTACAGTAACCCTCGCTGCGCATGCGCGCCGAGGGTTAATAAACCACAGCAATGACATAACTAACCACCTGCTAACCACCCAGAAAGTAATGCAAGCCTACTTGTGCACTCATAGTGCATATCTACTAAGCCCTCTCTTGGGTGAAGTGCAACCTATATCTATATGTTATTAGCAAAAACAATGTAAGGTCACCTGGTGTGGAAACACGCACACATGAGAGTATTCATTTACCTATAGTACATTTAGGAGTGGGATATAAGTTTCATATAGTGCATTAAGGGGGTGGGATATAAGTTTCGTACGCAGACCTCCTCTATCACAATAGTCTCAATCCCAGACCCTCTTGTTTTAGAGGGTCTGGGATTGAGACTATTGTGATTTATTTTCTCATTTTTATGGACAGTACACCTCGACGACACACATACACACATAATAAAAATATACGTACCAATACCCAAACGATGAAGATGTGCAAGTCCTCTTACAGCATGATTGAGCACACATAATAAAAATATACGTACCAATACCCAAACGATGAAGATGTGCAAGTCCTCTTACAGCATGATTGAGAATCAATTTAGAACACTGATCATAGTTTTGAATGTCATTATTCTCCACATACTACAGAAACAAAAACAATACTGAATGAAAGCAAAACATTTTTGTGAAGCAGGAGCGATCCGAGCAGCTACTAACACTACCTGTGGTGTAAAGAAAAAGTTGCGCGATCTTTATCAACCCCTGCACTGGTGGGTGAACAAGAGCGTGATTTATCACAGGAGAGGTATCTGTCTCGTTCCCTATGCCTAGCAAAAAGGCTTTCTATAATGATTGAGATCTGCTACAGTGAACACTCAAACTCGTTGCATACACACAGTTGGTGTAACGTTATGCATTGTGGCTGTGAGTTATTTAGTATTAACAGGCCGGTAAGGGTGGCATGTGTATTATACTGCGACCTTGGGTACTAATTGCATTCCTGCACGAGAATGTATAACCGCAAGCCACCCGCAACCCGATTGGTATAGCTGGTGTGTAGCCCAGTAAAATTGGTTTGAGTGCGGTTGCATAAAAAGGTGTATTGGCGGGTTCACTTTTGAATTTGTGTGCGTCATGGCAGACTGAAGCGAAGGCATCGTGGCTTGGGAAAGGCACTTCCAATGCGTACACGAATTCAGCGCCAGGATCTATTGGTGGCACATGATTAGCCGCGGTAGCCAAGCTGTAACAACCAAGAACTTGCTAATCTCCAGCATACGCGAGCGTAGCGCTCCTGTGGCATTTTTCCCGGGTAGCGGTGGTTGCGGCACTGACTCCGCTTCAAGCTCTGAGGGTGACTCGCTTGCTGCGCTTTATGTACTGGGCCGTAATGATGTACGCAACTTCAAACCAGCGTCGAAGAACTAGCTGTTGTAATCTCAAACTGGTTCATTAGCTGTTTTATACAATGATATTCATTGCTAATACACCCCTTGCTATGGGTTACTAATTAATGCTAAGACACTCATTACCACGGTTATTAATGATAATGATGTCTGTCCGCATGGCATATTAGCAATGAATAATGTTAACATTTCACAGCGGAGGAATGCAGAACTAAGAGCTTTGTCTGTGCCTTCGATTTGAGTGCCTACAAGGCTACAAGTATTAGTAATACAATGTCTACTAGAATGTTGCAACAAAATGTGCCTTGGGATTATCAACACATTCCTGAGGATATTGCTGAAACAGAAACACCAACAGTTGGCCAAATGTAGTACAATTTTTACCATGGTAACTTATTACGTCAACTAAAAGCACATTTTGGGCAATATTGGGAACGGCTGTGGACCTGCCCCCATTATTAGCTGTCCGACCACGGACGAATGCCCTGAGCTGTTCCTTGAACCACTGCTCTGCTGCAGGCGTCCTTCTGGACGAAAAGTATGTAATGAAGCGAGCTACCCTTGAAACTATGACGTAAAAAGTGTGTAGTCACATGGTAGGCAGAGAACGTTAACTTGGGTCTGCTCATGCCTTTAATGTTCTAGAATAATCCCAGGCATAAAAATAATATGCTTATATTATACGACAAGCTTCACTATTATGTAAACACAAAGAACAAAGCTAACCTTCAGTACACCGATCAGTTATTTTTTATAGAAAAAAGAGGGAGATTTGCTCCCTGGGGCAGTGCTCAATGGTTCGGATATCACTATCCTCTGGAATATCACATATAGGGCAGAATACACAAAAGATTCTGTAGGTGGTGAATTAGAAAAACTTTCCAACCATGATATAAACAGCATTACGGTATGTTTGGCATCGCCAGACAGTGTTCACTATTACACAAGCCAAAAAAAAAGCAAAAAAAAGCACTAAATCTTTGGTTAAGTGATCTGGTAGAGTGGGCATTGGGATATCATACCCTTGTGCAAGCTAAAAATAGCGAGATTAACAATGCAGGGGTGCAGTTAATGTACACAGTTCACAGGAGTTAGATAAGAGTTTTGATATGCTAATCTAGGTTGCGTAAAAGCTAATGAAGAATATTAGAAGTAAAGAAGTGCTGGGTTGGCCTCATATGTACCTGAAAAGTGGTTCATTCATGTAAAAGCGAAAAAGATAATTGCTTATACTAGCAAACTAATTTTAAGACCCTTAGGTATATACAATGCAGGGTGTTCACCTGAAACAGGTCTATTTCCAATTCTGGTAATGGAGTCTATTGTGTGGGCAAATTTCCGTACCTTTTTCAGGGGAACTTTTGCTCCATGAGAGTAACTTAGGTAAGAATTTTTAGACTTTTCACCTCAAGGAACGCTTTGTTTATACAAGGCTGCAACACTGGTTGGCATAGTTGCAGATAGCCAAACCTAGTCCTCTCCGGCACTTCTTCATGCCCATATACGTACTCTAAAGGACACACACAAAAGATTTGACAGACCTCATGTAAATTTGTCTGACACAGCTCCAATGCAATGTACTTAAAAATACCATCTTCCTCCTGTCAATTGCAAGAAAAATATTAAACTTAAAGAACTGAGGCCACACTGAATATTTATTAGTCAGGATTTATACTCAGAATTTTAATGCTTGAGTTAACTATTATTGCTAGCAATAACTCATGAACACAATGGCTGATAGCTCCTTTTTAATAACTATTGCTGATGCCATTGGTATCCCTCTTCGGCTTCCCAGTTACAAATCTCCATCGAGAAATAATGATGCTTACCATACAAAAATAGCGTATCACATTCGGATGTTCATCTGAGTGCCTTAGAAGGTCAACCTGAAGCGTTACAGAATAATATGAAAAGCACTAAAGAGTGCAAACCCTCGGCGCACTACGCATGTAAAAATAGACCATGTGCATGCACGGTATTGGTAATTTATGGGCAGTGGGCTAGGCTATGCAGTTTCTCGTGGTTTCCCGCTACTAGTAGCTCGTGGAGAGTCTGACACGGGCTAGTTACACTAGTAGATTGCATGCGGGAGTGGATACACGCCCTCTGTTGTAACTTCTTGTGCCTCCAAGGTACGCACATTAGGCCGATCAGTTCGAGGTAAGTCAGCACAATTATGCATATTGGCTTTTTTGCTGGTTTTCACGGCATATCTCTCGAACGCAGTTGTTTCAGGAAAATCGCCTAATTATTTTCAGGTTCGCGGAGTTCTTAAGCCGCTGGTATCGCTTATTGGCCACCTCGTAGCCTGTAGTTCCATAATAAGCGTCGACACACAGACAGACAGACAGAACGACTACTGCACGCCGAGGGTTAATTACAACAAGTAAATAAAAAATTCTGCGAATTAAAAAAGTGTGGAATATAGGAATGCCATAAAAAGCAAGGAGACAAGACAGGGATGACCTGGGCATGTGATGCAGTACTACAATGGGATGATTGTTACATCTTCAAACTGTCACATCTTGCTCATGTAAATTTTACTCAACACAAGCCCTACATCGTCGCCACTCTTACTCATGAGTTTTGAATAATGTAGTGTGAAGACTGGCAAACAAAATCTGTAGGGAAAGCAGCATTGAAAAACCGGTTAGTTCCGCGAACATTGAAGTAAACACAGTCACGATTCAAAACTGAGGACCTGTCGGAGAGGGCATTTGCTACCAGTCTTACGTACATAGGAAACGAGTCATAGCTGCACATCATACGATAGAGATCACTCGTACTTTGCAACAATATAGGTCTTGTGTGGAGTAAAATTTACATGAGCAAGAAATGTCAGTTTGAAGATGGAACAATCATCCCATTGTAATACTGCATCACATGCCCAGGTCATCCCTGTCTTGTCTCCTTGCTTTTTATGGCATCCCTATATTCCAAACTTCTTTAATTCACCGAATTTTTTTATTTACTTGTCTCCTTTCATTTTTTACGGCATGAACATGCATTGGGGAATAACTTCCATATAAAAAGTAACATGTATTTATTGCCTCGGACTCTTAATCGTCATCTACATTTTTATTTCACTTCCAAAGTAGGAAAAACAGCACTTAATTGCCTGAGGCTGTTTGTACAAACTTGTAATTCATGTTTCAATGAAAAGCACTGAAGTGCAAACCCTCAGCGCACTGTGACGCGTACGCGTAAGTAAACGCATGCGCCGTACAAATAATTGATGGGCTGGGTTTAGTTTTAGCTGTTACTCGTGGTCTCTTGCCAGCTCGCGCAGAGTCTGACGCAGGTTAACTACACTACTAGATAGCATGCGAGAGGCGATACACGCCCTGCGTTGCATCTTCTGGTGCCTCCGAGGTACGCAGAGCACGCGGATCGATCAGACCGCGGTAAGCCGTCCCCGTCCGTTGTGTATTTGCATATTGGCTTTTTCGCGCTCTAGCTTTGCAACGGAGCAGTTTCAGAGAAAACCGTTCGAATTTTCTGACCTTCATTGCCTGTCGTATCCTTTGTGAGACGAACAAACACCCGAGAAGTGAGATTGAGAGTAACAGACAGACACACAGAACAACTACAGGAACCCTCGCTGCGCATGCGCGCCGATGGTTAATGAACTCTTATCATACTAAATCAGTGTACCAAGTTTCATAGTTAGAGAACCCACAATAAGCAAGTTACAGGCACAAACATCATTTACAAGTATTTATTGCCTGTTGTTGTTTACAAACTTGTAATTTGTGTTTCGATGAACTCTTATCATGGAACATCAGTGTACCAATTTTCATTGTTAGAGGTCCCACCATAAGCAAGTTATAGGCAATAATATAGTTTACAAGTATTTATTGCCTGAGGCTGTTTGTTGTAGTTTACAAACTTGTAATTTCTGTTTCAATCAACTCTCATCATGGTACATCAGTGTACCAAGTTTCATTGTTAGAGGACCCACCATAAGCATCTTACAAGTTTCTATTGCCTGAGGATGTTTATGTTTACCTTTTTATACTAATGATGGGTTGCATTTGTGTACAAAGTTTTATCACTCTGGGTATTAGCTTTACCCAATTAGCACACCTTATTTGTCTCTATCATAATGTATTGCCTGGGGCTATTTGTCTATAAATGCTCTTGCACAACCTGTCATGGATTTGTGCAAAGTTTGATCTCCATATATTACCCGGTTTTTGAGATACGCTTGTTGAAACTGAACAACAACGACGACGACAACAAGAAGAAGAAGAAGAAAATTGAAAAGTGACTTTTTGAATAAATCAAGTACCGATTATGCGATTTAAGCTATTTCTTGGATACATGCTCTTTGTGACGATACGGATCAGTCTAACGTGTGAAAATCTGGACCTAGTTGAAATTGAAAGTGAAACATGAAAATCACAAATGTATGGGAATAATGCAGCACAACCTGTGTCATCCCTATGTACTGAGTACTACCGTACTTAGTGATACCTCTGCCTCTAATTGTACCTCATGATCAGCCATTTCAAAACATTCCGGGAGAATGCGCTTGACTGCAACTTCACGCTCATCGAATGTACCCCTGTAGAAATTAACGACCATATCAACACATTTCAGTTTAGAGTGAACTATAGGCATGGTTGCTACGGGTGTAACTAGGAAATTACCCTAGGTGAGGGGGATATCAACATTTCAAATTTATTATCTCTCACTCTCGCATATGTGCGTACGACTGTTTAACATAAAGGAGCAAAGGTATTACTCTTGACGATCCTGTAGGCAATTCGAGGCTAAGGCAATTCGAGAGTGTCCAGAGTGATCTCAGACGCAAAGAATGGGTCACACGAGCAAGATTCGAGAGGAAGAGACAGCGTGAGAAAAAAGAGTGTGTATGTTCAGGTAAACTTTGTCGTGAAGTAGATAAAACGTCGGTTCTTCTGACACTTGATATTACCATGTGTTGTTTCCATGTCGCCACTTCACTTTTAAAGCTTGATGGAAAGGGAGGCAGCATATCAAGCCTTTTTGGAGATGTTCGATTGTGTCGAACCTTCCCTGTATGTGCTTTGTGAACATCACAATCCTTTGCAACTGTGAGAGGCCTTGCATAACCAAGACCATACGTACGTAGTAAGCAACAGGAGCAAGCGTGGAAGGATGCCTTACAGCGGGCAGAGCGAGCAGAAGAGGACGAACGGAGGCTGAAGATCGACAGGGAGCGTTGTCATCAGGAGGCCAAGCTCGAACGCCTTCGTTCAGTGGCCGAGGAGACGCATAAGTGGGAAGAACGGGAAGCGCGGCTAGTGCGGAGGATCTCGGAGCTGGAGGATCGACCGCCATTATGAGGTTTGGGTGCTAGTGGTGGGAGTGTTTTTTGCGGTTGCGCTAGTGGGACGTGGGAAGCTGTGGGACCGGGTGTTGTTGGCGGGGGAGGACGTGGTAAAGGGGAGGTGAGGTTTGCTGAGTCAAGAGGTGGGGAGGGGTGCCAAAGAAGAGACAGCTGCTACTACAATGGGGAGTGAGCGACTGGATACCAGTGCTCCTGAATTTACACTACCTGGAGGGCTATCATCTCACACTGAACCTGGAACATCCACAACCAGATGAGAGTCTGCCCCACAACCAATAACAAGTGAGGAAGCAACTGCATCTATCCCAACCCTACCAATAGCACCCATGAATACTCTGTCAATGAGCTTGCCGGCACAGCAGCTGCCCCCACTACCAAACTTCATAGGAGATCGCCTTGAAGAAGATGGGGAGAATTTTGAACAATGGCTCGAAAGACTGGAGTTGATTGTCACTGGGACGAGAGGGCCAAGCTCGTGAACGTAGCAACTCGACTTACTTCTAGGCCTGGTCCTACGGTTCCTCCGCAGCGTGCCAGCTACGTTATACTGACCTCAGCCCTAAGACAGAGATTCACCCCTGTTAACATGTTCAGAGCAGCCGGTTCCACGAACGGAAGCAGGGCCCGAAGGAGAGTGTAGATAGCTACGCACAGGACCTTCGACAGCTCTTCAATCGAGCATACTCGTCCACCTCAGCGTCAGGAGATGGGCACCAGATGCGACAGTCTGTGCTGGCCTAGCTGGACTGAGGAGTGAGTTGACAGCAAAACTGGTTGGGCGTGAGGGGACCTTCGAGCAACTACCGGAGGTGGCCCGTTTCGAGGAAGCTCGATTCAGAGATGTAGTTCACGACCCACCAGGCAAAACAGCACACCATCAAGTAGCCCACCACCAACTGGAAGGACCCCACAGCAGAACACTCCAACAGCCACTTCTGCGAGACCCCAGAAGACATTGGACTTGGCCAGACCCCGACTGCTTGGGGAGAGGCTGTGAAACGACGTCTACAACCGGCTACAATGAGCTAGCGGAGCTATGGGGGAGCAGACCTGGACATCATCGGACAAGCACTATGCAGCATCTCTGTCGGAAAGCACCAAGTTGAAACTGTGCTGCAAGTGCAGCCTATGGAACTCCTGTTGGGGACTGACACCCTTCATGAACTTGGATTCTCTCTCACTCAGACAGGTTCTGAAGACTTGCTGAAAGGAAAGACGACAGGAAGCGACGGTGCTCTGACCACAAGGAGCACGGAGGAGGAAGGATCAAACACAAGCACTCCTAGCACGCCCAAATCTGAGAAGGCTACTGTGAAGCTGCTCGGCTACCAGCTGGACACTCCAAAAACTCATTCGTGTGGGATTTGGGGATTCGGTTGTGGAGGTGGGGACCTACCTGTTTGATCCAGCAGTGAAAGAACTTGGGTGTAAGGGACTCTCAATGGCTGATGGTGGGAATTGACGACAATGGACCAATGACTCTTGCCGTATTCAACCGCAGTGCAGAGCCTGTTATTCTGTTGGATCCACCTGTGGCCTACGTTGATGCAATCGCGGGGGAAGAATGCGATCAAGAACGAGAGGAGAGAGTGTTGGAGGCCCCCACGATCAGCCCAGACTCAGCTGGGTAGAAGCCCGAAGAAGCCAATGAGCTACAGGAACTGGATTTGCAGATCGAGTATCGCCCAGGGAACACAAATGCTCGTGTGGATGTACTCTCTTGCTACCCGATCTCACTGATGCAAGAGGAGTGTGAAGCGTCTGAGAGCCCTGTTGTAGTAGCTACAGTTCAAGTACCTGATGAACTATATTAGAGCGGGGAGGAAAATGATGACTGCACACTTCGTCAACGCCAGCTACAGGATAATGAGCTGGCAGACATAACCCACTACCTAGAAGATGGAGAGAAGAGCCTGTGAAGTCTTACTAACTGCGCCGATGTTCACGGTTCAGGAGCAAGACAAGACCCTGAGGATTGTGCCACCCATTTGTGACAGGTTCAAGCTATTTCTTGAGCCTCACCAGGGTCCGTATTCAGGTCACTTAGACAAGATGCACACACAGTTGAGCAAGCAGTATTGGTGGCCACGAATGTGAAGTGAAGTTGCTCACTGGCGTAGAGCCAGCCTTACCTGTGCGACAAGGAGTGTTGGGTCTGTAGTCAAACCACCGCCAAAGCCAATTCCAGGTGGAAGACCATCTAGTGTTCACTCAAGCTCCTGTCCCAGAACAAGACCTGCCACCGACTTGGAAGGTCGTTTTCTTCCAAGAAAGCCAGATTGAGGACAATCCAAGCTGAGAGCAAGGAGATGTAGAGAACAGTACGTGGACATTACGTCACATATGCCTATGCTTAGCTCTCGGCATGTATTTAAGCCACGTGTACCATCATTGTGATCAGGTGGAAGACCATCTAGTGTTCACTCAAGCTCCTGTCCCATAACAAGATCTGCCACCGACTTGGAAGGTCGTTCGCTTCCAAGAAAGTCAGATTGAGGACAATCCAAGCTGAGAGCAAGGAGATGCAGAGAACAATGCGTGGACATTATGTCACGTATGCCTATGCTTAGCTCCCGGTATGTATTTAAACCACGTGTACCCTCATTGTGATCAGTTCGGTTCAGTCAGTATATACATGTTGGTGACTCCACGTAGCGTAGGCTGGGGAGAAGAGCGCACATCTGTTATTTCATCAGCCATTACACTCCAAAAAAGAGGAATTACTTACTTCCATCTTTCATCTACAATGGTCTGTCTGATTATATCACCGTTTAATGCACTAAGCTCATTATGGATCCTTGGTGAAAGATACTTTGCAATTTTGATGTAAAAGGTGAGACTTTAGATCTGGACATCGGTTGCAGCTGTGCGAAAGCATGGAAGAGGCGGGACTGGGAGATTCAAACACTCTTGGAAGCTTCCGCCCTACATAGCCGCAAGTAAGTGTACTCCTATTTCACCTGCAGATATCTTGAGATTGGTGGAGTTTGTCCTGACAACAACCCATTTCCGTTTCAATGGAGTTTTGTATGAACAGAAGGAAGGTCTCGCAATGGGTTCTCCCATCTCGCCAATCCTTGCCAACATCTATATGGAGAGTTTAGCTCTACAGTCTTCTCAGATGAGTCCCAGGATATGGAAGCAATACGTTGACGATGTGTTTGCATGAGACCTGGTGTCATTCGCTTCACACATGAAGTTGAAGAGAACTGTAAACTTCCTTTTTTGGATGTTATGGTATCCAGAGTTGAGGATGGCTACCCATTTAAATTTTTACGTCAACCTCGTCCTCAAAAATCTCAAGATCCTCATCCCGCCCCACTAAAGACAGTGTGCATTCCTTCTCTCTGAGAGAATTCGGCGCATTTTAGGACAACATAACATCCGAACTACGTTTTTGTACAACGAACACACTCAGATCCATCCTTTCCCACCCAAAGTCTCCTACTCCCATCCTAGAGAGATCAGGAGTTGTGTACGCATGTCAAGACTGTGGTTACCACTACATTGGGGAGACAGGTCTACATAGGATTAAACAGCACAAAGATGCTGTCAGGAAGGGAGAAACGGAGAAGTCGGCTATAGCGGAACATGTCTGCATACTATCAACTGGGACAACATCTCGGTTGTAGATCAGGACAAAGATTCCATCCCCAGGAAGATCAGAGATGCCCTACACATCAGACGACATGGAGGCAGATTGATAAACAGAGACAGTGGTCTGAAGGTTTCTTGTGTATGGGATCGCCTTTTACCTTGTAACCTACAGGGTATTTAGATCTCCTCTCAGTTATGTTTTTGTAGTCATCCCTGAGGAAGGTCCTCGTGAGAGGACTGAAACGTTGGTTTTCACTCACTCTGGTACAAATAAAAATTAATTAGTCATCTAAGTTATGTCCAGAGAACAAAGAAATCTTCGAGAGTACTGCAAACTGTGTAGCAGCAACTTCGATGTTGACGCACGGTGGTTTCCATGATGTCAGGCGACACGTTCAAGGGCTTCGACATGTAGATCGGTTAAGCCAGTCTTCAAGCCCCTCCGTTACGTCTTTCTATGGGTCACAAGCTGAAAGGCAATCTCATGCTCGTAAAGTTACCTCTGCTGAAACAATGATGACCCACTTCATAGCAATGCATTTGGCAGCTGAACATCTCGCAATGGTGTCATAGCTAAGCTAAGGGAGCTTCAACCAAATCTTGTTGACATAAATTGCATTTGTCACTCCCTGAATCTTTGTGTAAAGTCAGCAGTTAAAATCCTCCCACTTAAGATTGACGAATTACCTGTTGATATATTCTTTCACTTTCGTCATAGCGTTAAGCGAGTGTCTTTTTTGGAGGAGTATGCTGACTTTTGTAGCTGTGAGTATAAAGCGGTTTTGAAGCACTGTGAAACACGGTGGCTTTCTATCCGTAGAGCAGTAATGCGCATGTTACAAATCTGGCCAAGCCTAGTGTCTTACTTCACTAGTCACCTAGATGTTGAGAAATCTGGAAAAGTGAAAAATATTAGCAAGCTCTTGAATAATCCAATCCCGAAACCTTGGCTAAGTTTTCTTGGTATATTTGACAAGTTTAGTATTCTTTTCCAGACATCCTCTACCTCACTTATTCACAAAATCCAAGGTGAAACTGCTCGTCTTCTAAGAACAGTGCTCTTATTTTGTTTCTCCCGACATGCTTTTGAATCATGGGGATAATTTAGCCTCAATTGACTACACAAGCTCTTCTAACCACCTCCTGCATGAGTCGATCTACATTGGGGATGATACCACTGCTTTACTTCTACAAGTGCAAGATGAGGGGCAAGAAACTGTGCCTTTCTATAGAGAATTTCCTTCTACACAGCTACTAAAGGTTAACAATTTCAGGTCACCCCTGTGGCTTATTTTCGCAGGCCTTTATCCTCATCAAGGTAGAAACGTAACTGTTGGTCTGTTCTATGAGATTGAAAAATGCCAATACTGTTCGATAAATCACAAGTAAAATGAAGCCAGGGAATTTGTTGTCGACCCAGAAATTGATACTACAGAAAGTGATGCTATCAAGTTGTGGTTAAATGTCAACACTATGGAATCCCTTCTGGGTGAGAGGAAGTATCATATCTTATCGAACCTTGCCCTCAGTCATCAATTCCGGCACCAAATGTGGATTCGGAACACGTTTTCAGCCTGGTTAGGACAATAAAAACTGACTTCTGTGCTTCGTTATCTGCAGAGACACTGTCTGCACTCATTGGGTGTCACCTAAATAATACGTTTAAATGCTACGAGCAAAGAAAATTCGATACTACTCTTGAATAAAGCTCAAACATGTACTCGTGAAAGAAACAAGCACTATAACTCATTTCATGACTGATCATTCGGTTATCGTTGTCGTTGTACTCAACATTTTCCTTGATCACTAAGTACGGTAGTATAGGTTGTCCTGCCTTATGCCCATACATTTGAGATTTGTACATTTCACTTTCAGTTTCAATCAGATCCCACTTCTGACATATCAGTCTGATCTGTATTGTCACAAAGATCATGTATCCAAGAAATGGCTTAAATCGCTATTCAAGAAAGTAAATTCCTCTTCTTCTTCTACTTGTTGTTGTTGTTGTTCAGTTTCAACAAGCATATCTCAAAAACCGGGTAAGATATGGAGATGAAACTTTGGTATTGGAATCCATGACAGGTCGTGCAAGAGCATTAATTTTTTATTCCACAATTTTTTTTACATGTAAACAACAAAAAATAGCCACAGGCAACAGAGACAAATAAAGTGTGGTATATAACAAGGTAAAGCTAATACTCAGAGTGATAAAACTACGCACACATTTACAACCCATCATTAGTAACAAATGAAAACATTACAAGTTTGTAAAGAACAACAAACAGCCTCAGGCAATAAAAACTTGTAAAATGTGTTTATGCTATATAGTGGGTCCTCCAACAATGAAATTGGTACACTGATGTACCATGATAAGTGTTCAGTGAGACAGAATTTACAAGTTGGTAAAAAACAACAAACAGCCTCAGGCAATAACATGATGTTTGTGCCTATCACTTGCTTATTGTGGGTCCTCTAACAATGAAAATTAGAACACTGATGTTCCATCATAAGAGTTCATCGAAACAGAAATTACAAGTTAGTAAACAACAACAAAGAGCCTCAGGCAATAAAACCTTTAAATGGTGTTTGTGCCTCTAACTTGCTTATGGTTGGTCCTCTAACAATGAAACTTGATACACTGGTTAACTATGATAAGAGTTCATCGACACAAATTACAAGTTTGCAAAACAACAACAAACAGTCTCAGGCATTTTATCCCTATAACTTACTTATGCTGGGTCCTCTAACAATGAAACTTGGTACACTGATTTACTATGATAAGAGTTCATCGACACATAATTTACAAGTTTGCAAAAAAGGAAGGAGACATGACAGGGATGACCTAGTGTATGTGATGCATTAGCACAGTGGGATGATGGTTACATTCAAACTGACATTGCTTGCTCGTGTAAATTTTCCTCCACAAAAGCCCTATATTGTCGCCACTTTTCTCACAACATGAATTTGTTTAGTGTGAGGACAATGGTAAAGGGATTCTCTGGAGGGCCATGAACACAGCATTGTAAAACTCATCGTTAGTTGAGCGAACGTAGAAGTCTTAGACTGCACACAATGCAGTCACAACCAAAACCCGAGTAGCTGTCAGAGAGGGCAACACCTGTGCATTACGTGCTTAGGAAATGAGTCATTCTATGAGGGAGCATAGTCATGCTTCGCAACAATATAGGACTTATGTGGAGGAAGCAACCAATGTCAGTTTGAAGATGTAACCATCATCCCACTGTCTTGTCTCCTTCCTTTTTATCCCACCCCTATATTCCACACTTTTTAATTCTTTATTTCCTTGTATCAATACTGATGAGTGCCGCTATGAGTTGGCAGGTCTGCTACCGCAACGAAAGCTGCAGCGGACCCAGAGACTGGTGGACGAATGATTGCATAGGAGGGCCTGCAAGAAGCAAGATCTAGAGAGTCTCCTGGGCCACCTCCAGCACGCAGCGACAGTCGTCCGCCCAGGTCGAACCTTTGTGTGCCGGCTGATTGAGCTGTTGGCGGGCTTCCAGAACAGAGAGCACTGGGTATGGCTCATTAGTTCGGTATGCTCCGACCTGCTCTGGTGGAGCTGCTTCCTCTCGGACTGGAACGGCATCTCACTGACGCCAAGAGCAAACCCAATTCAACCCCTTCTGCTGTCGGAAGCATCCAGCTCCTAGGGCTGTGGAGTTTTCTGGGGCTCCCACTGGTTCCAGTGGAAATGGAGTGGGGTGAAAGCGAACTGGTCAATCACGCCAAACGAATTGTTACCGGTGGTCATCGGCCTGGCGATTTGGGGCAAGCGATGGGCAGGCTTAAACATCGAGTGTCTGTGTGACAACGCGGCGGTAGTCGCAGCCATCAATGCAGGCAAGGCGATCCCACATTAACGCACCCACTGATGACCTGGGGTGCGAAGAATACAGTGGTCGACGCCCTGTCGCATGACGCCCTATCTACATTTAAGCAGGTGGCCCCAGACGCAGACGAGTCCCCTTCCCAAATCCCACAGGCGCTGACGGTCGAAGAGCAGCCGGACTGGACATCGCAGCGGTGGGCACAGCACGTCAGTGCCTCTTGAAGGCAAGAGTGGCTCGGTCAACGCAACGGACATATCTCGCCAGAAAGAAGAAATACTGACCTTCTTCCAGGAGGCAGCCATTCCTCCCCTCCCGGTATCGGAATCTAAGCTAATCAATTTCGTCGCATCAATGGTGCATCAGGGCCTGAAGCTGCTGTTAGTGAAGTGCTACAGAACCTTCAGCCGCCTTGGGGGGGTTGGTGGGCGTAAAGGGCGACGGTGGCGCATGCGTGGGCAGTAGCCTCACCGCGTGGCAAAGCAGAGAGTGGGCAGCTTGTGTGTCTCTACAAAATACTCCCTCCCAGGCTTTGCAGAGGGCAACACAACAAGTATCTGTACATCTCCTATCAATAGCTGGATATGTGTTGTTTTCTTCCCTAGCTACGAGCTGCTCATGGAGTGTGTGGTAGAACTGTGAGATAGGTTAAAGCAGGCATATTCCAATTACTGGCTCCGGGAGGAGTGTGGAGGCACAACTGACACACAAGATTTGGCTGTTCACCATCAACAATGTTATGTAGGACAAATACATAACTTACAGTGCCTTTGACTCGCACACACAAAACTCGATATGTGCATAATTACATTGTCCAGCCCTCTGCATATTTCCATGCCTAAGACCTGGAGAAATATGCTTCATTACTTACGCAAGTGGTTTAAAATCATGGTGAATAAGGTTGTGAAAATTTTTTTGGTTGTGAACCAAAGGGGGTTGGTTTTGTAGGCTAATCATCAATAGAAGATGGAACGCATAACTTACTTAAATACTATAGTCCCATGACTTCCATGGCCCAAAACTTGCTGGATATCATAAGAAATTTTCCCAATACGCACTCTATTAGCATCTATAAAATGAGACATTGTATAAAACACATTATAGGGATGGCACCTGTAACATATCACGTAATCTACGTAAAGAAACATTGGCCTAGGATTTCAAAACAATAGTAATAGTCTAGGGGACATATCATATGACCGTATAATTATGTGTCTTTATTCTCTTTTAAGTTTCTTCATAATTTTTTCATTGTCATCATCTTTTTCTTCTTCAGTAACTGATGTAGCAAACAATTAACCTTATGTGCTGATTTGCCCCTTAACATCTTCCCGGGGGTGTGCATTGTAACAAAGCAATTGCTCTTGGTTTACGTCACCACAGCTAAGCATAGCTTTCTTGGTTGGTGAAAAAAACATCATTTTGATGCCAACCATAGGGTGAGGCGGGGTGAGGTACTGAGGTGCATGCCACCAGATTTCTTCTTCCAGATTTCTTCTTCAGAGGATCTCTTTTTTTACTGCAAGCTACCGCCTGATGCTAACTTTCTGTGTACTGAACGTCACCAGGAGCATGCAACTCACATAACCAAATGGGGGACAGATGGTATTATTAAACGTGATGTTGTATGACGACACAGACCCTTAATTAAAAGTACAGTAGCCGTCTTTTGAATTGACAACTGCGTTTTAGTTACCTTCACAACTTTACTAGTCTACGGATTGATGGCATTTTCGTGACATGGTCCGGAAAGCAACTGGACCATGTGGCTTGACGCAGCTTCCCGGTGGTCGCACCTTAATGCCCAGTAGGTGCCTGAACAAGCGTTTGCTGGCCATGCTGAGAAAAGACAAAGCGTGCTGGCTAGCCCCGCCATCATGAAACAGCCGTCCAACAGGTGTTTTAACAAAGTTTTAATGAAGAGTTTTGTTCGCCATGCCTTGATTTCGTAATTCAATAATTGAATGCTCCCTATCCCACTTTGCATGCTCCTTACCTCATCCCTACTACAAGAACATGTTCGGTATCGTTGCTGGTGCATTTTTCTGCCAGAATGTGTGTCTACGTGCCTACATAGGCACCTATGCAACTGCTGCTCCCATGTTGTTATACTAAAGCTCCTGCTTGCCTTGCTCTCTCGGGATATTTTGGGAGGGTCCAATCAGATTTCAGGATTTCTTTTCCGTGCAAGTATCATGTGATGCATGTTGTAACTCATGTAACAATCAGCGAACATGATTTATAAATCTAGTAGTCCAAAGCTCCTGGCCTTTTTCGCTTAGGTCTGTGAAGGTGCAAATGTGCAAGCACGTGATTTTCAAATTATGTAAACATCAAAAATGCGACAAAAATCAACTAAAGTTCGCAGACCCTCTTTCCCTCGCAGAGGGGCGGGGTCTGGGAACGAGACTAGGTTTGACGTGTGAGAGTGATTTCCTTTGATTGGCAAGTATATACCTCTGGGGCTCAAAGTGGTTTGGGTCAATCACACAATCAGTCATACAGAGAAATGTGGTTATTAAGCACTACAAGCCACGACACGGCCTATTAGTGTTACCACCAGTTTTAGAAGGATTCAGTGATTTTCCAGGAAAAAACTGTGTTGAGTGAGAACAAGCGAAAAGCACTGGCTTACCTAGACATGGTAAAAGTAGCATAGAGGGACAAAATGTCCAGCATTGCTCTGTACACTACCAACTAATACAACAGCCTTGGTTGAGCAAGAATAAGGCTCTGTCGATGGGTTACCATGTGGGGAGGCCTGGCCAATCAATTACTTGTGCATAATATGTGTATTGTGCACATTTGAAATGTTGTATGAATTACAGCGGTTTCCATGCTTCTTGCACCTTCAAAACGCAAAATGGTGCGTTTTATGTTCTCTTCAGCGTGGCTTATTGTAGGCTGGATCCAATAACATACATCTGTCTGGGTGTAATTCAGTGACAGTCTCGCAAAACTGCAAAGGAATTTTTTTTGCCAACCATGGCAACAATCAGTGGTTGCTCCTTAAGTATACCTTAGAGTGACAATTTGCTACCTCTCCTATGTACTCACTATTGAGACACTTCTAAGGGTTGCTATTTGGGCACCACCAAGGAAAAAGAATATTAGGAAATTCGGTAGTCGTATACGCTAAGCATACAGCCAATTGACAACAAGGCTTACATGAGCGCAGTGGCCTCAGACTATATCTGTCTATGTGGATTATAAATACTTACTGGTAGTTGAGGTAGATTCAACGTTGTTGTCTGACTGCATCTGGCAAACAGAAAGAATGAAGGCTGTAGTTGTTGTATAAGAAACAAATATAATGTATTAGAGTGTGAAACTGGGTGTATACAGGTGGGTGTATTAAAAAAATTGTTGTAGACAACGGTAACAAAAAAGAGCATCGACCATCATGTAGTTCTCTGACACTCATAGTGACCAGTTATATCAGTAGGCAAGCAAGCCTTTGTGTAACTACAGATACCAGGTACCGCTGTAGGTCAGCGCTCATGAACCATAGTATTCGCTTCAACTAGTGCATTGACTGTGGAAGTAAATGGAATTGACAGAGAGACGGACTCACTAAGTACCATAATCCTTACTACTTCGCAATTATCCCACAAAATCTGTGGGATACAGGGATGGATTGAACCTCAAAAAAGGAAGAAATACCACACGTCCTCTACAGTAAGATGAGTACACTCAGCATGGTATTAACCTAAGACACATAAAGGTGTCCATTGTCTCTACAAAAAATATTTTATATGGGGGTTTTAATACAAGGTGTCTATACTTTGTACATACATGTTACTTGATCATATATTAGTGGCGTGGAAAGGGTTAAGAAACCTCTGACCTCCTCTGCATCATAAATATGCAGCAAGCTTAAACAAGCATGGGCACACCAACTGTGTTACACAGCAGTCATGCAGCCGAGTAAACTTTATCATTGCATAGTACGTGGTAGGCTAGCTGAGAGCTGGAACAGCACAAAAAAGGCAATAAGAATACAGTTAACTTTGTATAGAGAAAATTTAGAATTGCAAAGCTTACAACACATTATGAGCATACTGACACTCCCGGAACCAATCACATAATCCTTCCTTTTTCTCCTGGTGATACCCGCTCAAAACCCGTTGTGGTAGTTACACACCAGAGTTATATTGTTGGCAACTCTGGTATAATACAACATTTCTATGTATAGGTCCTACTGGAAAAAAAACATAGTTATTGTAAGTGATAACTTGACAAGTGTTGGCATACTCACAATGTGTTGTACCACACCTATCTGTCCTCCTTTCTTCATTAACAAGCCTTTTACTTTTAAGTTTGTAAGGAGCAAGGACGAAAGACAGAGATGACTTCTGAAAAGTGGTTCAACAAAGAGGTGTACACACACTGGAATAACATGCTCAGTGACATTCTCTACCACACAAACACCATGGGACTAGAGCTAAAATATGAATGAATGAAATCCTCGACACATTACGCATGTGCGGCACCGCAAATTGATGGGCTGGGCTATGAGTATGTGTTTACTCGTGGTCTCCATGCTAGTTGGTCGTGGAGCTTCACTATAACTATAAGATAGCATGCTGATGCGGGAGTCGATACACGGCCTTCGTGGTGACTTCTTGTGTCCCCGCAAGGTACAAGGAGCAAGTGGATTGGTTGAGGTAAGCTGGTGTGATATCCATATTGGCTTTTTCACTTGTTTTCACGGCATATCTCTCGAACGCAGTCCTTTCAGGAAAATCGACAGTTTATTTTTCAGGTTCACGTAGTTCTGAAGACATTGGTATCGCTCATGGGCCGCCTTGTAGCCTGTAGTGCGAGAATAGCTGCTGACAGACGACAGACAGACAGACAGACACACACACAGACCAAGTACTATAACCCTCGCTGCACATGCGAGCCGAGGGTTAATAAGCTCATCAGAAAGAGTATCAGCTCTTGTGGTTTTTGTTACAGTTATATGGTTGCTATCCCTCAAAGTTGAACTTAAAAACAATATGCTGACAGGTTATGGCTTGTGGGACGACAAATATGCAAGAGCAAGTACAACTTGTGGGTATGTAGGTGACCCACTATACCATTCATGCCTCTCTTGTCTCCATGCCTCTTCGCTAACAAAGTTTTGGGAACAAAAAAGTGTGAACAGTGACTGATGGTTATCGGTAATTTTTGGTGGGTTCTTCATTTCAGTTTTGATTTGTTGGTCAACATTTTTCATTGTTCTTAGCTTAGACCCACGTTCATAATCTGTTCTTCTTATGGTGTACTATGCATTGAGTAACGAACAGCGAGCCAAAACTTGGTCTAAATTAACAAGGGAATTTAATTGTGGACCAGTGTATGAAGGTTTCATTGGTAGAGAACACAGCAAAAACAAAAACTGCAAGCACGAACATAATGTAATGCTAGAGGTTGTTTGTTAACAAACCTATAAGATTTCAGCTGCATAGCAAGGGCGGTTAAAGTAGTGCAGTTTTATTGTTTTCACATTCGCTCTCAGGTTTAGTAACTAGTTTTATTCCAAATATGGTTTTCTCTGTTAGATCTTTTAACGCATGCAATAAAAAATGTTACCAAACTTTTGGAAACAAAGGCACCACTGTCGGGCATATGCTTTGACAAATCCAAGGTCGGTCGGATGTTACATTTATGAGCTTATGAGGCATGTCTCTTTTCCTGGCATAGTGGCATTAAAAAACAATTGAGATTCAACAATATTGCATGGGAGTATATTTTCAGATACAGGCTGAAATGTTTATGCATAAGCTGTTGTATTGCTCCCACGTTACATTACCAAATCCAACAAACTAATCAGGAAATCTCACTCACAAAACTATTGCTTTTTACCTGGCCTCCAGAAAAAAACCAAGCAGTTAAAGCCACAGCAGATCCGGTTATGATGAGTACAATAGCTTCAACAATAATAAATGTCATATAGCCATCAAAAGAGAGTAAATCAGCAGAAGGAATATTTTGACGAATCATTTCATCACTGGAAGCCATAGCAAAACCTCTTTTAAATTCAGGTGCAAAAACATATTTAATTTCTGAGATTGGTGGTAATGGATAGTGACCACTCCGAGCAAATTGCTTCGTAATATCATTGATAGGAAGGTTTTGTTCAGAATCTGGTCCTTCAAGGAGTGGTAGAGTAGCTGAATCTAATGAATAGAACTGAAATGGAAAAATAATGAGCTGTAATTTAAACAGAAGTGTGAAAGGACTTGTGACTAGCAGGAAACTAGTCTATTAAAAGGCACACAAATATAAAAAGACACAGACAGACACATGTCACTCTTTAGCAGAGAAGCACTATAGAGCAAACCATCGGCACACTAGAAGCCTTCGAACCCATATGGTACTACTAATGGCTATGCAAGTCAGTTTACTCGTGGTCTCCTGCCTAGTAGCTAGTGACACGAGCTAGCTACAGTAGTAGACAGCATGTGGGCCCCTACACACACTCACCATTGTGACTTCTTGTGCCTCCAATGTACACAGATCAGGTCTAGGTAAGCCAATTGTGTGATTAAGCATACAGGATTTTTAGTTTGTTTCCTCTTCAATGCGGTCGTTTCAGGAATGCGGTCGTTTTATAATATAATATCCTAGCACTAGTGGGTCTAAAGCTGTTGGTATTGCTTATAGGTACGTAACCTCCAAGACGGAAGTGTCAAAAGAGCTACAGGCAAACACACTGACACACACACACAGACTAAGTACTTTAACCCTCGTGCAATGCGCACAGAGGGTTAATTACTCAGTTCCTATTAATTGGTACTGTATTAGTAAACAGCTTATAACTTACTTACATCAATACTCAGCATTCTTTCATCAGCCAAACAATCCACAGCATAAACTAATTCCTTATGCACTCCAACAAAAAGATATTTTCTAATGGGATTAAAACAAATAAAGGTTCACACCTGACATAATGTACTTGTGTATAGGCAGGTAAAATAAACCAACTTGGGACTGCTATTGCTACTATCCACTGCCAACAAATGTCCTGTATGTGCTGTAATCTCCAGTATTTTAGTGACAATATTCTTATTAACACGGGTGTAGAGAGAAGTCAATTAAATTTTGAACATATTGGGTTTTTCAATTCCCATATTTTCACTCTTTCTGCCTGTAGCAAGTTTAAGCCCCGCAACTTACGGGGCCTGTTATTATATTGCTGGACACAGACTCTATGACGTTGATTTTTCCATTCCTTCGTCATCAGTCATGTTTCAACAGGTTGTTGAGCATGGATGCCAGAATTTCGGCAAAGCAAATCACACCGCCGACCCCACCACACAATCCTTACATTAATGCCTCATGTGCCACCCTTAAACCACTGTATTTGGACTCTGTAAAACATGATAAATATACTCAACCTAGGTAACAACATATAGAGTGCAAATACAGTGAACACAAGGAAACCTGTGATGAGATTAGGGGTTTCAGTGTGAAAAAAACACATGATTAAAACACTATGGTGCTTTCATTGTACTAAGTACTATTGTACTCTGCTAAGACGGGAAGAACTTTTTGATCATGTGACTCTCTCACAAAGCATCTCCTTGCTGCAATACTAGAACAAATGCTACGCAAACCATCTGTGTCTGTGTGTTTGAAGTTGGAGCTAATCACGCTTCAACAGATTTCTTTCATTAATATGCGCAATTTATACTAAAACACACTGCAGGGCTGGGAGTTTAATAGGATGTTAAACGATGTTAACACTCGAACAGTATATGGAGGGGCGGGGCGGGGCGGCAGGACTGTGGGCATGCGAAGTGAGCAGTACAGTCAGCATCGTGTCCAGGTCCGCCACGCACAAGGGACCTGGTAGAGCCAATCTCATCCAGGCCAATCTGGCGATGTCCGAAGAGGGAAGGAGCGGTGACCCGTCTGGGGTGGACAAGGAGCTCATGAAGAAAGCTCTGCACGAAATTCCCGCCTTCAGGGCGCTCAGTAAGGAAA